GGTTCCTAAACTTCCATGACAAACCACCACAGAATTCTTAATATTTACCTAGATCAAACTCTTAGCACTGAAGCAAATTTATTTTCAAAATCCAAAGTGACTTAGTGATATAAATGGAAAAATGTTAGTACAAATAAACTATAAAAAGGTGTGTATCGTATTAGTTCAAGGGTCATAGTTCCTTTCTTCATAGATGTAATACTTATTAAGAGATACCCACAGAAACAAAAGAAATTTGGGTTATATTTCATTGATGTAAAAAAATGAATCTAATTTTTCTTGCCACCTCAGATAGTTAGGAAATTTTTAAGCTTTACATTCTCACTTTGCTGGATCTATCTTGTTTGCTTGTTTGTTTTTTATGAGACAGGGTTTTGCTGTAGAGCCCAGGCTGTCCTCTGTCTCATTCTCTCCAGTATGGGATTACAGACTGCCCCACCACACCTAACTACTGAACCTATTTTGCCCAAAATGACTTCCTTGAGGGAAATCTCCAAGAGAATAGTTTGCAAATTTAAGATTTGTAATTTTAACAACATTACCATATTTTTAAAATATTTTTTAAATGATTTAATAAGAAGGCATGGTTTGAGGAAACAGACTCAAAGACTGTGGGTGAAATGATAAATTAATTGTAAAACTAGAATAAGAAACCAGATATCTTAACTTCTAAGCAAGCTGACCTTACTTCTGTGCCAACAAATCTCTTTTCTTAATACAGTAGGATATCTTAAACTAAGGCATGTGAAACAATTCAACTACAAAGAGCCTCAAAGTGACACTGCAGGACAGTTACATTACAAAGCTCCTTCCTTCTCATCGCAATGTGAATTATCTGAGGGGGCCTACACTCCATTTTGACTAGATACCAGGAGATTCCATGCAACAACAGGCAGCATATTATAGCAGGCTTTAGAATGGGAATGTGGTTTTAAATCCTGGCTTTGTCACTTAATATCTGTGTGACTTTAGTAGGACATTTAGATTCTTTAAGTGTTAGTTTTCTTTCCTCTGTAAAATGTGGGTAATACTTACTGTATTAAATACAGTAAGTGCTCGGAAAAATCCAAATATCTGTCTCTGTCAAGTCATTGAGATTCTTTTGTTCATTTGTTTGCAGTTTTAAACAAGGGATATTTATTATATTACATAACAGGAAGTCTAAAGATCAGGATGGTTATAGGGTGGCTCAGTGTCATTGGGGCCACAGTCTCACCCTATCTTTCCTATTTGCTTAGTCAACATTTTGTCCTTTTGTTGTTGTTGTTGTGCTAGGAGGAGGTTTTTTTTTTATTATTATATTCATATGTGTATACAATGTTTGGGTCATTTCTCCCCTTCCCCCTGCCCCTTCCCTTCCCCCCCACCCCGGTTCCCTCCCTTTTCCCCCCAACCCCTTGCTACCAGGTAGAAACTATTCTGCCCTTATCTCTAGTTTTGTTGAAGAGAGAGTATAAGCAATAATAGGAAGGACCAAGGGTTTTTGCTGGTTGAGATAAGGACAGCTATACAGGGAGTTGAATCACATTGATTTCCTGTGCAGGTGTGTTACCTTCTAAGTTAATTCTTCTCAAACTAACCTTTTCTCTAGTTCCTGGTCCCCTTCTCCTATTGGCCTCAGTTGCTTTAAAGTATCTGCTTTAGTTTCTCTGCGTTGAGGGCAACAAATGCTATCTAGTTTTTTGCATGTTTTACCTATCCTCATACCTTCCTTGTGTGAGGATATTCTTATATAATGGCCTTTCTAAAGAACAACAACAAAAAAATCCCAACATTCACATCCAAAATCCTTCATTGTTATCATTGGAAAGGCTACTATTGCAAAGTGACTGTAGCATGTTCCTCTACTAATGACATTGGGAAGCCAAAGATTTTGTAGAGAAGGTAAACAGTTCCATAACAGAAAGATGTCTGAATAGCAGAACCAGGATGTGTTGAAGCAAGAGGATTTCGTGAGTGAAATTTTCTAATTAAAATAGAATAAGAAACTATCTCATGGAGAGGGTCACTCTAAGATCCCACTCCTTTCTAATATTTTTCCAGGAAAACAAATCTTACCTGACAGCTGCCAACTATCAATGAGCTACACATTCATTACAAACTACTTCAAATATGGGAGAAGCTGCCAAGACTTATGGGAATATAGGGACAATATTCCTAACCCTTACGAGTTCAAACTTCTACTGACTAATGGATCTTCTGCCATCAATTTTTTTCCCTTCATAGGTCAGCTTGGGACAGCAGAAGAAAACACAATACTTTATGGAAACACTGTAAATCTGTGGTTCTTGTTGGATTCTGTGCACTAATATCTTGATATTTCGAGGTAAACGGTAAATGTATTCAATCTGTAAATGACAAGAGCAGGACATTAACCCAGAGACCCATTCCAACAGTCCGTTGTCTTCATAGGATCAAAAGACGCTGGCTGACCGTGAGGGCATTTACAGTGCCTTTAACAAGCCACCTACACAACTCAACCAGCTCGACTTCAAATGTTAAACAAAATTGAGACTCACAGGTGGGTGGGGAATGTGATTTATACTTAACAGTCTTGCACAGGAAGTAAATTTGGTGTTGTGGCTGTCTTGTGATTTAGCAGGAAGCAACTAAAATATATGGGAGCAAAATATTCCCAGATTCTGCTCTTCAGTCTCGAGTGTCTTATTCAAAAAGCAAACCAGCGCATCTTAGGTACTGGAGCATATGGCAGTTAGTTGGAATATTATGGAGCGGTATTCTTGTTGGAGACTGAGTGATCACTGAGAGTCCTGTTCAAAGGAAGGACTCAGGAAACATGGAGAAGTTGCTTTTCTCTTTTGAGTCTAAACTGCTATTGTTCACGGCCATTTTTTTCCTCTAATTAAACAATTATATTTTTGTTTAAATCCACAGTCTATTTTAGCTATCTCTCTATGGCCTTTCCTTTTTTCCTATGACAGCAACATTTTTGCAGGTTCTGTACTCAAAAGCGGGAGGCTATCTTTGGATTTTTACTCTTCTCTCACATTGCAGTGCATTAGTCAGCACCACTATCACGTGTTCCTTCCTCTGTATTTACCATATCACCTTTCTGGTTCATACCACACCATAGCTCCTCAATTCGAAATTCTCCTTGATGTAGTCCATTCATCCTTCATCATCCCAACTCCGTTTAAAGACAAGACTAGACAGATCTACACACAAGGCAAATCTGATGTCATCTTTCAACATGGTATCTACAGTTCTGCAGAAGTAGATTCCACTTAACTATCATCTTGAACTTCCAAAAAGATTCTTCCAGATCCAGAGGCTTCTTACAATGCTTTCAAGCATTTCCTTAAGTTTTCCCACCCACAAGCATGTCCTATGCTTCTGCTTCACTGAAACAAGCTTTTTCACCTTCCACAATCCTGCTCCATCTCTACATATTCTGTAAAACGTTTCCTTTTCTGAATCTTCATTGCTTTTCTCTTCTCAACATATAATTTAGCAAAGTATTTCATCTAGTTTCCCTGTCTTCTAATTGCTTCATCTTTGTAAAGCCCTATATCTCTAAGCCTATAAACCTAACAGCAAAGGATATATTTATTCCTTTAAAATATCTCTCAAAGTATTTAATATAAAGACATTCACAATATATGTGTTTAATACATCCTGACTTTTTGCAGGATTAATGCTTTGTTTTTTAATGAAAAATAGATCCCAATAACTGCTTATGACATTATATATAACTTTCACAAACCTTTTGAAGGCTGTTTTTCTACTACTTCATTTTTTATTTTTACAATACCGAAAGGTTACCTGTTATACTGCTAGTGGCTAATTGTATATTCCTGAAAATATTTATTTTTAGTTGGCATTATAAATTTATCAGAAACTACTAAACCTGAATTTAGTGACTAAAAACTGCTATTTACACAAGATATTTTACAAATCCTATTCTACCTCTTTGCAAAGACCTAACAGCAAAAATTTTTATTGATGTTTCCTTGCTGAGATTTGAGTAGTTTGGCATATATTTTTATACCTCATAAAGCATCCCCTGATTAAATGACACTGACAAAAGTAGACTGAATGAAGAAATAAATTTAATTTTCTACATCACATACCATATTAAAAATTTAGATGTATTAAATGCAAAAAACTAATATAAAAAAGAATAAAATATGAATGAGTGTTTAGGGGTGAAACAAACATTTCTAAGCAAAAAAAGCCACAAGTAGATAATATAATTGATTTGAATATATTTGAAAGTTTCTAAAAAATTATTTATATCAAAAATGCCTGCTGGATACCAGTGGCTCATGCCTATCATCTAGTTACTCGGGAGGCTGAGATTGGATGAATTGTGGATTGAGGCCAACACAGGCAAGTAGTTCTTGAGACCCCAATCTCCAAAAATAATCAGAGCAAAAGTGGTAGAATGCCTGCTTTGCAAGTGTGAAGCCCTGAGTTCCAATCTTAATGCCCCCAAAAAGGACCTGCAGCAAAATGAAACTGAGAAAACTATTTGCAGGACATTAAGGTCTAAATATTTGCAGAGACAAAAGTAAATAAGATCATCTTATATAAAAACTACTTGCAACTTCATAAGAAAAATATCTATGCCTAGATCACTGTCTCTATCTATAATTACAAGCATACATCTATATCTATCTATATTCTATATCTTTTCCAACAGATTATGGATTAATGGCAAGAGATCAACTGACCATTGTCACTATCACCTGCTTCCACTTTTATTTATTTATTTATTTATTTATTATTTATAAGGATAAAGAAACACTGTGGAAGTGCACATGCTATCCTAAGCTTGACACAGTTGCTGAACCAGGCAGAATCCCACTAGACTTGAGGACTGTGTTACACCTGAGCTCCTTGGTGCTTGGGGTTTGTATTGCTATTCTTCACTGCTATGGGTTCTTCACTATTATGGAACTCATGCATATGTCTGTGAGCAGAATCCCACATGAAGGAGGTGTTTATACATAAAAAGTCCTGCTGTAACCAAACCTGATTCACCAAGGACCAGGTATACAAGCGGGAAGAATGCAGTCAGTGCCTTGAATCCCTTCTTTACCTTCCATTTTCCTAATGTCTGAAAGACCCATTTCTTCACATACCTCAACAGAATCATAGACAGGGGCATGGATTGGCAATTCACCTAAGAATACAAATGGCATACACTTATATGAAAATATATTCAGACCATTAATCGAATGTAATTTGGGACAATGGTTAAATACTGTGTTTCATTGCCAAAAATCGGGCAATGTGGGAAAAGGCACTTTTCAATGCTGTTGATAGGAAAAAAATTGAGACAAGCTATTTTGCAGGGTATTTTGACAGGGTATATCAAAAGCTTTAAATTGTACATGCCCTCTGGTTCTGAAATTCCATTTTCAAGAAATTATGCTATAGTAACAACAGAATTAGGAGCAAAGACATAAGCACTAGGATACTTGTCACAAAATAATTTTTTTCTAATTTGTTTATTTAAATTTAAAAAGAAAATTATATAGATTTGTCAAGTACATAATCTTTTAAAATATGTGTACTTTGTAGAATAACTAAGTCAAGCTAATTAACATAAGCAATATCTCAAGTACTTACCATTTTTGTGGTGACAGCACTTAAGATTCTACTCTCATAAATTTTCAAGAATGCAACATATTGTCACTAACTGTAGTCCCCATAGTATACAACAGATCTTTTGAACTTATTCTTCCTAACTGAAATGTCATATCCTTTGAGCAAAATCTCTCCACCCCCGCCAGCAAAATTTACAGTAGTAAAAATTCAAACAACCTAGATGCCAAAAGTAGCGGGTATACTAAAGAAACTACAATAAATCATACCTGGGGAAAAGCACTGTGCTGCAGAAGTATATCTAATACCATCAGCAAACTTTGCACAAAAGAAAAATTGCAATTTTTATTCATTGAAAAAAAATTTACACATAGCACATGCCTGTCACTCCAGCACTCGGGAGGCAGAAACAGGCAGGTGGTAAGTTCTAGGCAGGCCTAGGCTATATAGAGAGACTGTGCCCCAAAAAAACAAAAACAAGCAAAAAAACAAAAGAGACCACATACATAAATGCATATACATGCATACATATATACATACATATATATATATCCAGAGAAATAAAGAATAAAAGTGCAAATACCAAAACAGAAACTAGCTAATATTATCCAGTTTCTCTGTATTGTCTAATGAACATGTAATGCTAATTAGAATAAAGACATGAATTTAAAAACTCACAATGTTTCAATCTTAAATTCATTTGATATGAAGTTCCACTTTCATTATGTCTGTCATGTTCAATCACTTTACTTAGGTCTTCAGATAGTACATTACAAATAATGATTAAATGTTTTAAAAATTCTAGAGATCATCTGAAACCTTAAACTCTAAATAGGCTCATTTAAGCCATTTGGCTCACCTAGAAACCGTTTTTGTACCCTGACATCCATACAATGGTACTCCAGTCACAGTAAATGAGACTCAGTCCATTATAAGGAAATGTCTCATACTTGTTTTCTGCAGCAACTGACATTTCATTCAAGCACTTTCAAATCCCCCAGGAATCTCCATCTGCTATATGTCAAAATTTTAAGATGTCTCTTTTTGAACTTTAACACTCCCATATAAACCAGTGAGAAATCAAGACTACTCCATCCTGATTACTTTGATACTGACCAATTTAATCCAAATCATTGTTTCACAAAGTCACCATATTCTGAGCTTACAATATGCAAATATTAACTACCACTTTGGCTTTTTATAGTCTATTTCTGTTTCTCTTGGACTTACCATTTGTGACTAGGCTTTTTGGTTCTTTTTTATGCTTTCAAAAAAATTATTGTTTGATATTATCTCAGGAGCATTCCTTTAAAAATCTAATTATGTAACTTTAGGTTTATAAACATGCATCTTGTTTTTAAGCAAAAAAAAAGTTATTTAAGATCATGCAATTACTAGGGTAGAAATACTTATTTTGTAGCTATTAATTTAATCCTTAGGGCAATGATTATATACACACAGACATGTTCTTGTGCATACACATATATACATACCCACATGTGTGTATAAGTTTTTCTCTCTCTCTCTCTCTTTCTCACACACACACACACACACACATACATCAAGGATAATGAAAGGAAATAAGAAATTACCTGTGTCATGAAAAAATGCTCACCATCTCTAGCAATAAAGGAAATGCAAATTAAAACCACGCTAAGATTCCACCTCACCCCTGTTAGAATAGCCATCATCAGCAACACCACCACCAACAGGTGTTGGCGAGGATGCGGGGAAAAAGGAACCCTCTTACACTGTTGGTGGGAATGTAAACTGGTACAACCACTCTGGAAAAAAATTTGGAGGCTACTTAAAAAGCTGGACATCGATCTACCATTTGATCCAGCAATACCACTCTTGGGGCCCAAAAGACTGTTACTCCAGAGGCACCTGCACATCCATGTTTATTGCGGCACTATTCACAATAGCCAAGTTATGGAAACAGCCAAGATGCCCCACCACTGACGAATGGATTAAGAAAATGTGGTATCTATACACAATGGAATTTTATGCAGCCATGAAGAACGAAATGTTATCATTCGCTGGTAAATGGATGGAATTGGAGAACATCATTCTGAGTGAGGTTAGCCTGGCCCAAAAGACCAAAAATCGTATGTTCTCCCTCATATGTGGACATTAGATCAAGGGCAAACACAACAAGGGGATTGGACTATGAGCACATGATAAAAGCGAGAGCACACAAGGGAGGGGTGAGGATAGGTAAGACACCTAAAAAATTAGCTAGCATTTGTTGCCCTTAATGCAGAGAAACTAAAGCAGATACCTTAAAGCAACTGAGGCCAATAGGAAAAGGGGAACAGGTACTAGAGAAAAGGTTAGATCAAAAAGAATTAACCTAGAAGGTAACACCCACACACAGGAAATCAATGTGAGTCAATGCCCTGTATAGCTATCCTTATCTCAACCAGCAAAACCCCTTGTTCCTTCCTATTATTGCTTATACTCTCTCTACAACAAAATTAGAAATAAGGGCAAAATAGTTTCTGCTGGGTATTGAGGGGGTGGGGGGGAGCGGGAGGGGGTGGAGTGGGTGGTAAGGGAGGGGGTGGGGGCAGGGGGAGAAATGACCCAAGCCTTGTATGCACATATGAATAATAAAAGAAAAAGGAAAAAAGAAATTACCTGTGTGATAGTACTGAGCACAATCCTGTAACTTGCAGGAGACTCTGGATGTGCAGCTGTAGTTTCACAGTTACATAGAACTATTTTAAATAATCAATTTTGGAGAAGAATGTACTTTTTCCCCCAATACCTTTTTATGACATGGAGTCTCAATTCCATCAATTAGTGCTACACTGATTGACATCTTTAGGATTTCAATCAATATTAGATAGAAATGTATCTTTTTTAATAAGCCTTTTCTACAGCAAACACCAACCTAATTATGTATAGAAAATTATAATGTGAAAAGTATCTAAAAGATAAGAAGTCTTGAGAAACTCAGTTATATGAGTACATAGTCCACTTCCGATCCCTCAAAGGCTAGATGCTATTCATTTTCTTCTTAATCTCCTCCACCTCCCCCTTCTCCGTGTTGCATTTCTCCTTCCCTTTCTGTATAAGATGCTGAAACACTTCACCAGATAAAAAGATCCCTTTCCCTGAGATCTCCAGGAGTGACCAGTTAGCTCCTAATCTGTGCCTAGCTGAGCTTTGGAAAAGAATAATCTCTTCTCACAGTATAACCTTTTGGGTTTGTGTTCAGCAATCAACTCTCTGCAATTTGACTTCCACACCCACTACACAGAAATTAATATCTTCCTGTCCAGTCCAAGGGTTATCTTTGGCACTTAACTATGGCAGACTTTTGGAAGTTGATTCTGCCGATCACATCCTGTCTCTTCTATCTTCTGTGAATTGATTTTTCCCCTTTTGCCTCGATTGGAGACCTCTCTTTGCTTCTTTCCTAGGTGCTTCTTCTATGCTCTTAAGAGTAAATACTGGCGAGCTCAGGAGTCTATCTTCAGTCCTCTTCTTTTCTCATTCTATTTGCTTTTGGGGAAAGATTTAATTCTGTCCCCAGGTTTAAGTAAATATTTCTAAGCAAAATCTAACTGAATCATATACTCATATTTATTTACATTGTGTAAATACACACATTATATATAAATACATCTAATTGTCTAATAGGTAACTGAGCTTCAGTGCCCCACAGATGCCTCAAACACAACCCGTCCTTGTCTGAATTATTAATTTCACCACAAATAATGTATTTTAAATCTGAGCTTGGATTATAACATCATTTATCCAATCTTCCACATTAGAAAAAACTGCCTTTTTCTTTTTCTTTTTTCTTTAGTTTTTTTGAGAGAGGATCTCATTTTGTAGTCCATGCCACACCAGGCATGAAGACAGTCTTTTTAATTTATTTAATTAATTTATTTATTTTTGGTGGGACTGGGGTTTGAACTCAGGGCTTTGTGCTTAAGCCACACCTCCTAAAATATCCCTTTTTTTTTTTAGACAGTCTTTTTAAATGTCCTGATTCTCCCTGATCCAATGCAATGATTCTATTTGTTTTCCCACTTTGATTATTATAATGCTACCTAATTGGCCAGTTTGTTTCTAAATTTGACCTCTGTATTAGTATGTTTTGCATTCTGTAACAGAATACCTGAGGCTTGGGACTCTAAAAAGAAAAGACAGTACTGGCTCATAGCTTGGGAGGCTGAAAGCCCAACATAAGGCAGCAGCATCTGACAGCATGTGGTGAGGGCCCCTGACTACAACCCAGCATAGCAGAGAAGCAAAGAGGGAAGCAATCCTGTGCAGAAGGGCAGGTAAGGGTGGCCTCACGTGCTCTCACGAGAACTATGCGCAGACCCCTTTCAGGGGAATCTCCAATGATCTACTCACTTTCCACAGGGCCCCGCATCTTTGGGATTCCACCACCTCTCAATGCTGCCCCAGTGGGGAACGATCTGCCAGCATGTGAACAATGAACCACATCCCAAACACAGCAACCTCTACATCTGCTGCTTCCTCGTTCAACAGCCACTTCATTTCCAGGTCCAGGTCGTGGATAAGGGGGGCACAGGGTGAACAAGACCATACTGC